AGTATGAAACACTATCTTGTGGTGGCCAAAGAGAAAGTCCCCCACATCCACTGATGGGAGGGCAGGTTGGATAGGAAGATGGTTTTAAGGAAGGGAGCTGTTGAAATCAGAGTCCCTGGAGGAGAACACATTTAGGAGGTGACAAGGTGAGCAAATGGAAGAGGTGAGACAGGGGAAGTGTAAGACCAAGGACAGAGATGGCCACAGCCAAGAAGGCTGTTGATGTCCTTTAGATGTCAAGGTGTACTTCGGTTCCTTTATAAGAGAAGTTCTTGGTGGACACCAGGTCCTTTACAGTCCCTGTGATCATCACAAACGCCAGTTCACTTCCTTCCCTGTGTGTGATGTCATCTCCCCACACCCAGAATTGCATGGAGGGAGGGAGCTTTTGCATCCCTTGCATGAGCTACACTGACTCTCAAGGGTAAACGATATTTAATCGATCTTCATTTTTTCTAGCACTGTACAAGCTTGAGATTTTCCACTAGAATGATTTCATATAGTTTTAAAATATCCTCCTTTTAGCTATTTGTGTCCTTTTTGGAGGTGTTAAATGTGGAAGCAATTATCCTCTTCATGACAAGATTTTTTTTTTCTCTTGGCTCTGTAAAGCTTTGTGCTTTGTGACACCTGATGCGTAGGTAAGAAATTGGGCTTATTTTCTATTAATTCACTGTGAGTTTTTCACTTGGAGAGCTAAAGGGTAGGATGTATGCTTCTCCGAGAGATAAACCACAATCTGTTAAGTGTGTGGGAGGACACTAAAAGCTAGAAAAGATTATATTCTAGCACAGTAAAGTATGAAAAACCTTCCTTTTGCATTATACCATAACCGTGGCAGAAAACTCAGAGGAGGGAGGATGCTGATTAAGTGGTTTCAAGGGAAGTAACCTGGAAAAGGACAGTCTTTTTGGTTGAATTACTTCTTGTTAGTCTAAATTGGAATCTTTGTTGTTGGGTGTGAGGTTTTGTATTTTTAGTTGATGGGCCCATGAATTTGAAAGCTTCAGATTCTTACAAGTGTTCAGAGAGCTGGGATGCCGCCAACAGAGAAGACAAAATAAGCTCTCTGATTTCATCCAGCGTGTCTAACGCGTGCCAAGGAAAAATTTTTTTTTAGCATTCAAAGAGAATAGTTTGTATTGTTGTTGATAAAATGAGGGCACCAGAGTAGATGGTTTGCTTTCTGCCCAAACTGTGCAACAGTTAATTGTGTTTATGAACGTGAGACATTTTATTCTGTGTGAAACTGATGCCAGAACAAATTTTCTTTTCTTTTTAAAGATTTATTTATCTACTTGGAAAAAAAAGATAGAGATAGAGATAGAGATAGAGAGAGAGAGAGAGAGAGAGAGAATATCTTGATCTTCCATCCGCTGGTTCAATTTCCAAATGGCCACAACAGCCAAAGCTGGGCAGATCCAGAGCCAGGAACCAGGAGCCAGGAGCCAGGAGCTTCTTCCATGTGGGTGCAGGGGCCCAAGCACTTGGGCCACCTTCCATTACTTTTCAAGGCACATTCGCAGGGAGCTGGATTGGAAGAGAAGCAACAGGGACTCGAACTGGTACTCATGTGGGAAGCTGGCACTGCAGACAGCAGCTGTGTCATAACATCGGCCCCATGCCAGAACAAATTATATAAATGCAACCACTTTCTCCTTTTTCAGATTTGCATTTCTTTTTCAGCCAATCTAGATGTTTTTAAAGTGACCTAGCAGGACTGACACGATCCTCAGGTCAATAAATCTCCCAGGGACAGAAGTGGAGAGGGAAGCTTGTCACAACCCAAAGAACTTTTGTAAACCTTGGAAAATATTTCCAGGTGACTGAAGTGGATAAGGAAAGGTTAATTCTGCTAAAATCATACTAACTTTCATGGAGCATTTCCTCAAAGGCACCCATTCTCCCAAGTCCTTTATGTGCATCGTTTTAGACCTGTATCCACTCTAGTAAATAGGTGTGATGACCATCTCTACTCCACAAATGAGAAAGTTAAGGTAGTGAGAGGTGAAGTAATTTCTCCAGGGACATAGTGCTCTTAAACGGCGGTGGGGGAAGCAGGGAAAACACTAGGGTTTGAAATAAAGCATCTGAGTCCTAAAGTTGTGGATTCAACCCCCATGCAACGCTGCATCCAGGAATCCTTTTAAGATTCAGTCTCTTGGAAGAGCCGAAGTTCGAACTGCTCACATGGATGCTGATGATCAAAGCCAGCTACATAAGAGTTGAAGTTTGCCTTACTTCTCTTCCACCTTAATTTTAGTCCCATTCCAAAGTTTCTGCTAGTCATGTAAGTGTCACTCCTGATTACAAACTCATGTTTCATTTCTATCGGATTCTGTTTTCTGGAAGGAATTACTATTGGAAGTGGATTCTGATATTAACTCGAAAAGACTTAAGGAGTCAGTCCATTGAGGGATCTCTGCATTTCAACAGGAAATTTTTATGGAATAAAAAGTTTTCAAGATACTCAAAAGCCATTTCTTTTTTTAAAAAAAATTTATTTATTTATTTGAAAGTCAGAGTTACACAGAGAGAGAAGGTGAGGCAGAGAGAGAGAGAGAGAGAGAGAGGTCTTCTATCCGCTGGTTCACTCCCTAATTGGCCACAATGGCTGGAGCTGCTCCGAAGCCAGGAGATAGGAGCTTCGTCCGGGTCTCCCACGCAGGTGCAGGGGCCCAAGGACTTGGGCCATCTTCTACTGCTTTCCCAGGCCATAGCAGAGATCTGGATCAGAAGTAAAGCAGTCGGGACTTGAACCGGTGCCCATATGGGATGCCAGCACTGCAAGCGGCAGCTTTACCCACTACACCATAGTACCTGCCCCGAAAGCCATTTCTAAAAGTGATGTATCAATCTCCATTTCAGACCAATGGGGACTGTACTCTCCAGGCTGGGGCCGCTGGTTGAGCCCCTCAAGTCACACTAAGGAGTGGAGGTAGCAGCCTTCTTGTCTCCTGGAAAGATCTCTCATAGCACAGAAATGGGGAAACAGTTAAAGGAAGGAAGAAATACTGCATAGATGGAGAATGATAGAAAACGGGGTAACAAAAGCATGGACTCTCGATGTGGTGCTGAATTTGAACTTCATGTCTGCTAGTTTCTAGCCATCTGATTATAGGTAAATACTTAAAAGTCAGTTGCATAGAAAGCTTTGATGATTAAGTAAGACAGAGACTGAAAAGGCAGCAACCAAAGGCATGTCTCCAGACAGGAGGGTCTCAGCCAGCGTCAACACCGTTGTCCTCTCTTCCACCACACTGTGAGTGAGAGCTGGGATCAGGAGGGGAAATGGGAAGGACTGATTGAGATGAACTGTTTGGAAGAGAAAGGTAGGAAATATGACATACTTATTCCTTGATGTGAATCACCCTTGTTACACTCATTCATTCATTCATTCATTCAACAAATACTGACTGCTTCTTGGATTTGAGACTAGACTCACTGCATTTAGAAATTCTAATTTTGAGGCACTAAATCCTTATGCATTTAGAATCTGATAAACCCAGCCAACTGGAGGCATTAAGGCACTGCTGATATTTTTCTCATGATCCTCCTTCAGATATAGTTTCCAATGAGAACTTCAGAAAATTAAGCAGTTATCATTTTCTGTTTAATCACATTGTCCTGCAACACTCTGCGCAAAACTCCTTATTTAATCAGAACATATTTAATCAGGAGATCTGCCACTAACCACTGGTGATTGCTCTTTCTGATATGTTCACACAGGCAACATAGAAAAATACCAAAATACAGTCATTATTTATGTTCTGAAACTCCCCGCCTCTTGAGTTAAGCAGACCATTTGAAACCACATGTGTTGTAAACCACTGACTTTTCAGAGCTTTCCTGCATTTCAGTTGAGAATCATGAGTCACATTCTTATTCTCCAATGAAGACCACAGATACGGTGATCCCTGCCACCTCTACCCCTTGAGTTTTAGACTAAACAGGTCAAAAGGGACAGCTACTAGACAGAGCTGACTTAGAGACTAAAAAGAGGCAATAATTCTGTCCTCACACTTAGCTTTGTGGGTTTGCCAAGTGCTCGCTGCAAGTCCCCTGATGGTACCAGCCTGCAACACACAAATAAGGACATGGTAATGTTAATTCCTGAATTTCCTTGGTCTTGTAGCTTTCTCACTACAAAGCGTCTAGACTTTTCCAACAAACATGCCCACCTCCTGACAGCCTCAAAGGGCTGTTTCGCACATGCTCAGGAAGAAGTTTGCACCCACTGGGTATATCTGCTGCCCATTGTCTCTGTCCGGCATTTGCCATGTCCATTGTTTTCCACAGAGCATCACGCTGTGGGCCCTCCCTGTGTGTCATTGGGTACCATGTTCTCTTCTGGCTTCATTCAGCTAATGTAGTTACAGAGTGTTCATACAGAGAGAATCTTGGCCCTTCCTAAGACTGTGCCCCACCTATCACCTGAGTCTTGAGCTGTAAGTGCTGGGCATGCAAGTAAACAGCTTCTTCAGATTAGGCCTGGCACCACCCCCCTCCCCTGCCCTGTTAGCTCATGAGGATCAGCAGAGATAGAAAGGGACCTGGGTCATCCCCTCCACTGTTTCCAACTCCTCCTCCTCTCTACAAATTACCCATGATCCAACTGCAATCCTTCTCCTTCGGTCAATAACCCCAAGCCTTCATGCATCAACTGAGGCAGACTTGTGAGCCATGTGCCTCGTCCTCCCAGTCTTTCTTTAGGTACAGGGAGGTCCATGCTATTATCAGTCCATGACATTGTCTAGTTCCATTGCCTTCATAACCACAAAAGAATAGAGATGCCATCAGGGTCTGGTGTCGACTGGAGTTGTCAGCCCCTTGGCTCAGACCTCAGAAGACACAGGGAGACAGAAAATATGGGCAGGAAAATGGTTCTTTGTATATGCACACTGTGCCATGTTTCTGTGACTACACTCCTCAGGGCAGGTGTCAGTACGAGGCACTTTTGTCTACAACTTCATCCTCTCCTACCTTTCTGCTTTAAACAGGACTTCCAGTCATTCATTCTGGAATCAAAGACCTCAAGGTTTTGAAAACGACTCAGTCTGGGTTTGAAGGATTCATTAAGGACCAGTTCACCACCCTCCCAGAGGTGAAGGACCGGTGCTTTGCCACCCAAGTGTACTGCAAGTGGCGCTACCAGCACAGCCAAGACGTGGACTTTGAGGCCACCTGGTATGAATGTGTGTAGGACCTGGTGCTGGGGCAGGTGGTATCTTCCCTCTTCCCTGTGGCCAGAGTTCATGGAGTCCTAGATCTGAAAGGGAGACAGAGCTATTTCCTGCTATCCAGAAATCCTTTCTGTTTTTTGACTTATTAAATCAGAGGTTCTCAGATTTCATGTGCATCCAAATCACCAGAAGATTGTTCAAATGAAGGCCCTGTGGTTCAGGCCCAGAGGCTTCTATACAGTAGATCTTGGGGGGGGGGGCTGAGAATTTGCATTTGTTACAATTTCTCAGCTGATGCTAAGGCTGCTGGACCAGACTTTGAGGCTCACAGCATCAAGTGAAGAGAATATCTGGCTTTGTGGTGATGCAGAGTTAACCTAGGGGGACCAGTCTGCCCCAGTTTGCAAGTTTTCCTGGTTTGAACACCAAAAGTCTCATGTCATTTTAGATGCCATGGTCCCAGGAAAATTGACACTATTGGTCGGTCACTCTAGGCTAAACTCAGAATGATATGATTTTCATAGATGCGCTTTGTAAATGACAAATGCTTTAAAAATGTCAAGGTATTATTACTATTATTATATCTTTGACAAGGGATAATTAGGCCTCTGAACTCCCAGAGTTTGCCTTTTGACTGGCAATCTCATTCCTTTGCTGAAGTCTAATTGTTAGGAATTTTCACCCAATGATGAGCTGCAATCTGCCCTCCCTCTCGGGAGCTCCCTCCCACTGGCGCAGTTCTTCTCTGCTCCCTCTATTATGTGATAGGTTTGAAAATGCTTCTGGAATCTCACCTCATTCCTCTTTTTTCCTTTTATATTTCATATGTGCCCCATGGGAGCCTGCCATACTTATGGTGAGAAGAGTACAACATTGCACATGCCAGCATCAGGGTCATAGGCTGGGGCTCCCACTAAAGAGAGGCACTTGGAGTGGGTCACTTAACTTTTATTTATTTATTTTTAATTAATTAATTTAAAAATTTTCAGCTTGTTTGACAGGCAGAGAGACAGAGAGACAGATAGATCTTTCATCTACTGATGCACTCCTTAAATAGCTGCAAGGCCGCAGCTGGGTCAGACCAAAGCCAAAAGTCTGGAACTAAATCTGGTCTCACATGTGTATGTCAGGGACCCAGTTGTTTGAGCCATCCTCTGCTGCCTCCCAGGATCCCGTTGCTGGAAGCTGGATTGGAGGCAGAGTAGCTAGGACTTGAGAAACAGGCCCTTTGATATGAGATGCAGTTGTCCCGGGTGTCATTGCTGCACCAAACACCCATTCCTGATTTAAATGTTACGCTCAGTTTCCTCATCTCTAAACTGGGGAAACTGATAGGACCTACTTTATCTCTATCAAGAATTCAGTGACAATCACAAACTGCCTAGCCCAGATTAGGCGCAAAGTAAAACCCCTAATGTCACAATTCAAGTAACCAGTCACACAGCTCAGTAAGATGCATTCAGTACTTGGGAGGCTTCTTCATCATGGCTTCCTCAAACATGGTGGGAGATGAAATACCCATTTGGTCCTGGTGCCAAAAGACAGCCCAGTGATACCCAATATGAAATGGTGTGTGTGTAAGGGAATGGCAAATGAGGGTGTGTGTGTGTGTGTGTGTGTGTGTTGACATTACAAAGTATTATTGTCTTTTAAAACCACCAATGAAATTGTTTTCTGGGGGGAGAAAAGTGCTGTACTTCTTTGCTCTATAAAGCGTTCCTAAAATACCATCCCATGAGAGTCCTCACTTCTCCTCTCTCTGTGTTTCAGGGACATTGTCCGGGACACTGTCCTAGAGAAATTTGCTGGGCCCTATGACAAAGGCGAGTACTCGCCCTCTGTCCAGAAGACCCTCTATGACATCCAGGTGCTCACCCTGAGCCGTGTGCCCCAGGTAGGTTGTGTCAGTTGCCATGATGAGGATTTAGAACCCTTGCTGTGTCTCCTGTCAGCTCTGAGATAGAGTTGTGAGTTAAAATAAGAAAGTGGGAGACACATGAAACATGACATCTGTTGTTGTTCAAAAGCTTGTTATAGCAAGTGAGAAGAGAGCAAAAAATGGAAAAATCTGTCCAACCTGAAAATGCAGGCCACTGCTGTAGTTCTTTAGTTTTGTTGAAAATTCTTCAAGTCTCTTCAGCCTGTCACTGATGTAAGCCTCGTGTTCAGGGTACTTGAATGCTTGGAGGGAAAGGTAATGAGATGGAGGGTCTGTGTTTCAGGGGGAGCCAGACAAAGAAGGGAGGATTGTAGATGTAGGCGAATTCATGCACCCATTCACCCATCCATTCATTCAATTGTGGAATCATTGTTATGTCTCTGGTGGTACCCCAAGGATCCAAGGATCCAAAGATCAACTAGACATGCCCCTACCCTCCAAGAGCTCCCGACTCAGTGCTCAACAACAACAGCAGCAACAATTAAGTAAAATAACAACACAATAAAGAATAATTGTCATGGGATACTCATTCCGGCCAGCCAGATTTTCTGGAGGGAGATGTGTTTGAGTTGATCCTTTAGGGACAATGGGAGTCATGAGTCTGCTCTTAAGGATGCAGGGCAGGGTAAGAACAAGTATGGAGACAGGAGGAGAATGATGGGCTCACTACCTTTTAAGGGTCTCCTACATAGGATGCTCTAGGAGTGAGAATCTCTGTGTGTGCCTAGCAATGAGGCAGACACCAGTCAGGAGGGCTTTTGTGGTCTTATTTATAGAGCCTGTGCTCTAAACTGAAAGTTCTTAGGGAACCACTGAGGGGTTTAGGCAGAGTGTGGCGTGACCAGATTTGTGCTCGAAAAGTAGAATGGATTAAAAGGCAAGGACACCTGTTAGGGTGGTATTGCAGAAATGTGGCAAGGGAGCGTGGGCAAGTCTGGTGAGAATGAAGGGTGGAGCACCTCCCTTAGGCCTGGGCAAGGGGGACTCCCACGATGGCACAGCACTGTCAAAGCTCCCCTTTCAGGCCTTCTTCTGCCTGGGCCCCCTCCATGGGTAGGACCAAGGCAACAAACCCTTCAGGAGCCATAGTTCTCAGAACTTCCTGCCCAAGAGCCCTGAGAATACTTGCAGAACACGGGCTAAGCTCTTCCCGAGATCCATTCTGTGAAGGGCAGGGCATGTTCTTGATGTGCACAACTGAGGACTGAGAGCTGGCAAAGGGTGGATGCTTGCAGAAGATATGGAAGGACTGACTTGCAAGCCAGAGTGCCTGCCCACATGAACCCGAGAGAGAGAGAGAGAGAGAGAGAGAGGGAGAGAGAGGGAGAGCATGGGCCAGGTGCTGGGGATTGACTCTTCCCGTGTTGCCATGTCCTGGCATGGGACTCCAAAGAGTAACAGAATTTTAAATTAAAACCTGGATTTCCAGGTTGCTATAAAGGTATATTTTTGTCAAGTTAGAAGAAAGAACATATTTCACTTAAAAGTTTTTTAGCTTAATTTATAACTTCAAAGTCTTTACAAATCTGGCACATGGCTCTCCAATTATAGTTTTACTCCAGGGCTTGTCGATGTTAAGGACATACTGGGAGAGGAGGGAATAGAAGGAAGAGGAATTCAGGATGATGATCGACCGATACCTGCCAGCCAGTTGGATGCTGAAGAGGTCCCAGGTTTCTGACCCAAAGAACTCTTGTTTTCCCGAGAAGCACTGAGATGAGAAGAGAGAGCCTAACACCTGATAATAGGACTAGCAGGAGAGAACAGAGGAACACCAGAGGGTGTTTCAAACACAGAGCTGGGACCTGAGTGTCGGGGCAGTGGATAAGTGGGATGAGGGTGGGCAGAGTGACAAAGTGACAGATTTAGAGTTGCCCAATGTGATGCATACTGTTGTGGATTCCAGATAGAAGATATGGAAATCAGCCTGCCAAACATTCACTACTTTAACATAGACATGTCCAAAATGGGACTGATCAACAAGGAAGAGGTAAGAGAACTTAAAAATATTTAAAGCACATCTCGATCCCATCCCCTTTGTGCCTCTTTATAAACTGGGGTTGATAACATCACAGTTAACAGCTATTGCTTTGGAGGAATATTTATTTGTTTTATGCATACATATATCTAGGTATTTATTTAACATTTTATTTTAGAATAGTTTTAAATTTATAAAACAAAAATTGTGGGGTAGTAATATACACAGTTCCTGTATACACTTCAGCCCATTTCCCATGTTAGCATCTCATATTAGTATCGTTGTCACAATTAACTTAATTCATTTATATTTATTTGAAAGAATGAGTAATAGAGACAGAAAGACGTGTCTCCTACCTGCTAGTTCAGTTCCTAAGTGCCTGCAACAGCCAGGTTGGGCCAGGTTGAAGCCAGGAGTCAGGAAGTGAATCTAGGTTTCCTTTGTGGGTGGCAGAGCCATTACCTGCTGCCTGGCCTATGCATTAGCAGAAACCTGGAATTGAGAGCAGAGCCAAGACTCAAACTCAGGAACTCCAATATGGGGTATGAGCACCCCAAGTGGCATCTGAACCTCTATGCCAAATGCCTGCCCCCGCTTTTGGGGATATTTGTAGTTGCCATTGATTAGAAGCCTCTTAGACTCTGGGCCTTTCAAATGCCTGAGGCTGGAGTATCCTAGAAGTGGATGGATTTTTATAGAGGAGGGTTGGGAGTAACAGAGAGGAAAAGGCAAGGAAAGAAGAGAGTGTGCCTAACGAACTGCTCCGAGAGCGACTTCTCTGAAAAGCGCCAGCGAGGCTGCAGCTTCGTTACTCTTCCACGACGAGGCAATGAAGAGGAAAAAAGGGATTCTCTTCGCATTTTTTCCCTCTTCTCATTTTTTCCCTCTTCTCAACCATTTGATTAAGTGGTCAGTTTAGTAGCTCCCAACACACTCTGAGTAGATGAAAGGGTATTTGTGGTTTTTTTTTTTCTTTCTGTGTTTGTGTTTCTAATTGCAATTATAGAAGGCAAGATGAGGAAATTGAGTTTTTGAAAGGAAACCTTTATTTTGGAAAAAGTGCTTTACTCTGAGTTGTTTGTAGCCACAGCAGAAGGTTAAACCACTCAATGTGTCTGACTTGGCAGCCCGGAGCCCTGATCCCTTGCCTGTTGTGGTCAGTTCCCAGGAACAAGCACAGTCTTTGCCCCTTGGACTTTCAACACGATAGTAGTCCTCCACTGGATCCATCCTTCCACCGCTTTCTTGGATTGGCAGCACATGTTCTGGGTGACTTCTCTGGCATAGGAGGGAGTGAGTAGAGAAGGAGCCACCTACGAGCATGGCTCTCCTGCTGCACAGTCACATCCACTGGGGGAAAAGGGCTAGGGCTGGAGTCGCCAGAAGGTCTCCCATTCTGGACCAGCTGCTCCAGGGGCATTGTGACTGTCCTGCAAATAATGCTGATAGACACCACTAGATTTGCACCACTGTTGGTTGCAGGTGGAGCTTGGGGGTGGTGTTGGGAAACACAGGTCAAGCCCAGGTGCCTGACAGAAGTGATCTAGAGGCCTGAGTTGCAGAGATGAGCAACCTCGGGCCCATACACCATTCATTCTCGGAAAGGATGGAAACACTACTGTCTTCTCCAGGGTAGGAAAGGGTAGTGACCACCACAAGGCCACTGACCAGAGTGCAAGGCCTTTTAGAAATGATTGGCTTCCAAAGGATGGGAGACGACCTGAAAGTGATCCTGGCCATATCCACCTGAAGCAAAATAAAAGAGCATGGAACAGAAAAAAGGTCAGCTACCATGACCAGCGTGGTGCTCAGCTCAAGGACCCCAGGCAGAGGGAGGAGGGGGCTTGTCACTGACCCCCCACACCTGCAGGGGTCCCTCCTGGAGGGCTTGCTGATCTGCCCCTCTAAGAGGTCAGACTTGCAGCTCCTACTGGGATCTGCCAGAGGCCTCCAGGCAGGAAGACCCCGAGTTTCTTTAGGTCAGGGCTCCACATAAAGGCATCTGAGGGACTGAACAAGCTCTCCCTGTGTCTATATCTGTGTCTGTGTCTGTGTCTGCGCTTTGGGGATGGCTGGAGCCAGTCTGGGGCCCTCACCCAGCAGGTGTGTATGAGGTAAAGGCAGCACACGAGAGGTATGAAGTTGGATGCTATGACAACAGTAGAGAAGCAACAAATGACAAGGCAGAAAGACAGAGCCCCAGAGTGCAGCTGTCCGGGGCCATTTAGCGCTGAGCTAACAGCCCAGCAGTCCTCAGCTGATCCTGAGGGCATGGTGGCATTATAGCTTTGGACAGTGATGGATGGCCGAAGTGAATCATCAAGGAAAGGTCAAACTGTGTTCCAGCACTCTAGTTAAAAAGCAGGGGTATGTAATGCATTTTAGAAGCATTTGTATCCTAATGGTCAAAATTTTTCAAAAACACTTTGCTTTTCTGGAAAAGCAAGTCATCTATCAAACTATCACTGCAGAAATAAGCCATTCTCATGTTTGAAATGACTTTACTCTGGGGTACACACATTTTCCTGGTTGATAAGTTGTTGTTTGCATTGTTGTCTTAGTACTGACTCATTTATAGGAGAGGGCTGTTTTAATGTGTCTGAAGTTACCAAGTGCTTTTTCTGCAGGTCTTGCTGCCATTAGACAATCCATATGGCAAAATTACTGGTACTGTCAAGAGGAAGCTGTCTTCAAGGCTGTGACATTGTGGCCACCGGCAGGAATCTACTCTCGGCTGAGGAGTTCCTTTATTCTGTTTTTGATACTGGAGATTATAGCCATGCACATTTTCAACCTGGAATATTGACTTACAGTGTTCACTTTCCTCTCATATGAAATAATTTATTTTGTGTACATCTTGCTCAGCAAAGATTTTGTGGACTACCTTATTGGTAATAATAATGTGCATCATAGATACAGTTTGCTTGAAAAACTGAGCAGAATTAGAACAGTCATAAATCAATATTTCTTTTTAGTTGTCTTGTGCCTTTCTACCTTAGAGAAGCTTTAAAGTTAATTCATTAAGAAAATCCTCATGAAATAATGGGGATGTCATCATCAATTAATTTGTGTGCAAGTTAAAGCAGGAAGTATTATTTTCATCCTACTGATGCTTCTGAGTAATGCAGAAAAGGAAATAAAAATCATATTGAAAAATGTCACAGTTGTGACTTCAATTGATTGAATATTTGAAATCCTTTTTTTAATTTTTTTAAACTTTTATTTAGTAAATGTAATTTTCCAAAGTACAGTTTATGGATTACAATGGCCTTTCCCCCCCCCCCATAACTTCCCTCCCACCTGCACCCCTCCCATCTCCTGCTCCCTCTCCCATTCCATTTGCATCAAGATTCATTTTCAATTCTCTTTTATACAGAAGATTGATTTAGTATATATTAAGTAAAAATTCATCAGTTTGCACCCACACAGAACATAAAGTGTAAAATACTGTTTGAGTACTAGTTATAGCATTAATTCACATTGGACAACACATTAAGGACAGAGATCCCACATGAGGAGTAAGTACACAGTGACTCCTGTTGTTGACTTAACAAATTGACACTCTTGTTTATGGCATCAGAAATCTCCCTAGGCTCTAGTCATGAGTTGCCAAGGCTATGGAAGCCTCTTGAGTTCGCTGACTTCAATCTTATTTAGACAAGGTCATAGTCAAAATGGAAGTTCTCTCCTCCCTTCAGAGAAAGGTACCTCCTCCTTTGATGGCCCATTCTTTCTACTGGGATCTCACTTGCAGAAATCTTTCATTTAGTTTTTTTTTTTTTTTCCAGAGTGTCTTGGCTTTCCATGCCTAAAATACTCTCATGGGCTCTTCAGCCATATCCGAAGGCCTTCAGGGCTGATTCTAAGGCCAGAGTGCTGTTTAGAACATCTGCCATTCTATGAGTCTGCTGTATATCCCACTTTCCATGTTGGATCGTTCTCTCCCTTTTTTATTCTATCAGTTAGTATCCACAGACACTAGTCTTGTTTGTGTGATCCCTTTGACTCTTAGACCTGTCAGTGTGATCAATTGTAAACTGAAATTGATCACTTGGACTAGTGAGATGGCATTGGTACATGCAATCTTGATGGGATTGTATTGGAATATTTGAAATCCTAAAAATGCGTTAGCATATATATATCATTATTGTATTTTTACTCTAATTGTACTTTGTGATTTTTTCTAAGGTGAGTTTTTTCTCTTTTAAAACTTTTAATTCCAGAATAGTTTTAAATTCACAAAACAAAACCTGTAGAAATGGAAGAATTTTTACATACTCCTTCTGTTGTATCAATTTTGCAATTTTACAACACTTGGAGGATATTTAGTACACATTGGGGCACAAAAAAGAAGTTAAAATTGCTTTTCTTTGAATAAGGAGCATTTTGGCACAAAGAGTCATATTTTATAAATATTGTTAGTATACAGATGTAAAAACATCCATAAAGATAGAAGATTAGAGAGGAGATACTTGTGAAAATATCAGCAATGATGTTTTCTGGATGATAAGGCTGGGTTTAAATTTTTTACCACATGCTTTTTGAATCTTACAATTATGAGCATTTATTGCTTTTAGAATCAGAGAAATATGTTTAAAATGATTTAAAGGTAAACACAGGTTTGAGGGGTAGATGACCTTTCTGTCAACTGATGAACATTACCTGACAGACACCACACACCTTCATCGTTTACATATTAGAAGCTCACCAGGGAAATCTATCCCTGTGAATGTTCTAGATAACCTTTCTTGCTTTTAAAATTTCCACATTTTTAAAGAAATGAAGCCTCCATTTTTAAGCAATGTGTCCATAGCCTTTGCTATTATTTGATATTTCTGCTTTGCTCACAGGACCACTGACAATAACGTGGAGCAGGAATGTAAATGGTTTGTGAGGTCAGCCACAAACCCATTTACATCCCAGCTCCACGTGATTATTAGATCTGTGACAAGTTTCCTCATCCATAAGATAATCTGATACTGGAAGTCATGGCAATGGGAATGTTTATAAAGTGTTCTTGCAGTATTTGTGCCTGACACATAGACATTTTCAGTATAAAATATTCTTAGGTTGTACTTCACATCCTGACTTTTTCTCCTTTATTATTAGACCCAAGTAGAAGCCCTCACTGGCTCTGTGGGTCAAGGGAGAGTTGGAGGAATGAGAGCAACAAACCCTACGAGACGCTGGAGGCCGTTGCCAGCTCGTGCCTTCTTGGAAAGGCCCAGGGTAAGAAAGGTGAAATAACTTCCTAGGGAAAATATTCTGCTAGTTTCAATATTCCTGCTACAAAATGTACTTCTACATCACATAACATCCATGACCTAGTGGCTTGTACATTTTACTTATCTGCTAATAATGGCTGATTCTGTTCCAATTGGAATGTAGCCTGACTTTGCTAAAAATACAATCATACACACACACACACACACACACACAGAGAAACACATGCCTTTCTTACTTGCTGTTCTCTTGCTGGTTTTAGAAACACTATATATATATATATTTTTCTTCAGAGAAGAAGCCTGTGTTAGAGCAGAATCCTTAGACACCATGTTCCAATTTGCACATCTATGCGTTTGCATCTCCTGGACTCAGCATACCTCCTGTAATGCGTTGGAGACGCGTGATTGGATGCTATATCCCAGGTGTATGCCAGCAAAGGCTGTGTGCAGTCTGTGGAACTGCCAAGGAGCAGGTTCCTGTTTTGTGCAGGATGATTTCTGTGGTTAGAAGTGTAAAATAAATGCCGAAAACCAGCTTTGGGTTTCACCTGCTCCTTTCAGCTCTGGCAGAGGGGCAGGCAGAGCTGAACCGTAAACACCTGTGAGATAGTTTGTAGCAAAACATGGTATAATTTTGCTAAGGAAGGCTCCAGGGATTCTGTTCCAGCTTTCTGGGAAGCAGAGCTGCTCTCCCAACACTCTCTCTTCTCCTTACCCCAAGCCCCTTCTGAAGAACGTCCATGGAGGAAAACTGCAGGCGACTCCAGGCCCAGGTACTGCTGGGAAGCAGTTTGCAGGGGGTAGATGGAGCAGGCTGTGGTTTTGGCAGCCAGGGTTCTGGCTAACTGTGCTGTAGTCTCTGGATTTCATCTTGTAACTTTTTGTAGTGTCAGATTCAGAAAATATATCCTTTCCTTTTCCTTTAGAGAGTCAGCTTAAGTTTGCACTAGTCCTTATTTTTCAAAGCTGTTTTTCTTGCCTACTGTAATAATATTTTTTAAAAAGATTTACGTATTTATTTGAGAGGCAGAGTTACAGACAGGGAGAGGGAGAGAGAGAGAGAAAAGCTTCCATCCTCTGGTTCACTCCCCAAATGGCCACAACAGCCAGAGCTGGGCCTATCTGGGGCCAGGAGCCGGGAGCTTCTTTTGAGTCTCCCACGCAGGTGCAGGGCCCCAAGCATGTGGGCCATCTTCTGCTGCTTTCCCATGCCATAGCAGAGAGCTGGATCAGAAGAGAAGCAACTGGGACTTGAACCAGTGCCCATACAGGCGGAGGCTTAACCTATTATGCCATAGCACCGGCCCCAGTAGCGATTGTTTTTGAGACAGCATTTTACTTATTATTGATGCAGAATCCCCACCACCCTCCCCTTTTTCAATAACCCACGGCTTTTGACCACAGAAATTCGTGGAAAAAAAAAACTTTCTCCTGACCTCTGTTGACAACACTTCCTTTCCTTCAAGGCCTGGAGCTGTGTGGAGTTTGTCCTTTGTGGTAGCCTTTGCAAAACCTTTGTCCTGTCTTCCTCCTTTCCAGCCCTGAGGAGTGAACCAAAACCCGTTTCCAAAGACGTAGGTTTCAAACCTCCTAGGAGGGTGTGTTGGGTTCTTCCTGTTTCTAAATATTTCAAACTTCATCTCTTTGTGTTTTGGGGGATCTTTGTTCTCATTTCTCTTAGAGCCCAGCAGCTTCTTGCTCTTCCAGTTCCCAAACTCCCTCTCAGAAATCTTGTGTGTGTGTGTGAGAGAGAGAGAGAGACAGAGACAGAGAGACAGAGATCTTCCATCTTCTAGTTCACTCGCTAAGTGGCTGTAACAGCCATGACTGAGCCAGGCCAAAGTCAGGAGCCAGGAGCTTGTTTCTGGTCTCCCACACAGGTGCAGGGGCCCAAACACTTGGGCCATCTTCCACTGCTTTCCCAGATGCATTAGCAGGGAGCTGGATTGAAAGTGGAGCAGCCAGGACTCGAATGCCCATGTGGGATGTCGGTGCTGCAGGTGGTGGCTTTACCCACCACATCACAATGCTGGTCCCTCAGAAATTCTTAAAGTCTCTTCAAGCCTACTGTGGCCCTGCTCAGAATATGTCGGCTGAGGGGCTCCTCCCAGCAAAGAAGCTCCTTCACGTCTTGCAGGTGCCTCAACCGCTCCTCAGGAATGAGTCACATCTTACTCTTCAGGGACTTCAACAGAAAGTCCTATGAGGAGCACATTGAACCAAATTCCAAGAAAGGTGTACACTCATCTTTACATGTGAAAAGAAGTAAGTATGTTTAGAGAAAAAAGGAGCCAGTTACACTAGTTTCCTGAGGCTTTTGGGAGTGGGTGGGTATTCCCTCCTGTTTTGGAAACCAGGGTCATGCTCCCTCCCAGTGCTCTAGGGGAGATTCTGTTCTTGTATTTTGCAGCTTCTCACGCCTTCAGGGTTCTGTGACTCCTGGCTGTGTCATTCAACCTCTGCCTCACGGTCACATCACCTCCTCCTCTTCTGTCAGCCTTCCCCTGCGTGGCTCTGATAATGATGCTGATCATTGGATCTGGGGCTCACCTGGACAGCCCAGGGTAATCTCCTTAACTCAAAACCTGTAACTTAACTGTGCAAAGCCTCCCCCCCACCCCATAAGTTCACATTTGCAGATTCTGGGCATTAGGTGGTAGACTGTTTTGGGGACCACCACTCAGCCCACTGTACCAAGTAAGGAAACAGTGCCCAGATCTTTAGCTACACGCAGGTCACTCTTCCCTTCTGATCTGGGGAATGGTTACATGGGCTTTGGATCTAGACGGTGCTGTTTCAGAGTGGGCTCCACCGCTGTCTAGCTGTGTGACCTTGACTGAGCAAGTCATACTCTCTAAGC